TTTAACCGTCTCTGTTTATTATTTTGAAATGTACTTTTAATTTTTATCATATAAAATTTGGTGAGGCATGAGCAAATTTTCATTCCGAAAATGCGGCATAGAGAAAAAAGTTTGGAAACAACTGCTCTAAGGTTTGAATCAAGCGGATGACATCAGTCCAGGAAGAAGTTTATCTCCAGCGTCCATTAATGAAGAAACAATCAATCAAAAATAGAAAAATAATTGCTGGCATACCACATAATGAACTCTAGTTCTCAACTTAGAAACCCGACCTGTAGAACTTCTTAAGTCAGGATAATGCTCAAGTGTGGTACCAAAGTATCGAGATAAGCTTGGTCAACAAATGTGAGCATTTAATGGACCCATTCGGAGAAGAAGGGGTAAAAAAAAAAGGATGCTCGCGAATGACAGTATCTCCTTTCCCACCATTCTTAACCTCTTCCCGCCCAGGGTCAGTTCTTATCTATCCCTCTTCTCAAAATATTCAATTTTTAACACCTCTTCTGTTATTCATATCACACACTTCATTCATCATGACCATAAACAGTAACCCTCTATCTTGAGTGGCCTCCCAGTCTTATATCGAGTGATCACATTTATGATTTATTTTTTTATATAAACGAAATTACTTGCCAAGGGAATGAACTCTGTAATTAGAAGCTGATATCTCTTAAGTTATTTCCCTTGCTTCAGGACAGATTTTTTTTCTATCTCTTTCTACTTAATTACAAATTCCTCCTCATAAACCAGTGGCCCAATTTAAAACAAATTGCTTTACTCTTCAAGTAAAAAAATTTTAACAAAAATTACAAATTGTAGTTAAAAATTAGCGTATTTTTAAGCATGAAATAAGGCTCAGATATTTTTAACACAATTAATAGCTAAAGTTTTTAACACTTGCTAGGCTTATATTTAAAGCATGAAATAAGGTTCAAATTTAAGAATTTGCTAAGTGTGACCAGGCTCAGCTAATACTCATTTAATGCTAACTAAAAAAAACAAAAACAAAAAAAAAAACTGTATATGTGCACTTTGCCTAACTTAGGTTTTGTAAGTTAATTTTACTATGCTGTTCAAACAGAAGAACACTGTGGATATGTCACTTACCTTATTATTATTATTATTATTTACTCTTTTCATCTGCTCCCTTTTTCTTTCCATATATCTTGTGAGTGTTAAATTTTCCAAACCCTCTGTTCTCATTATGTGTCCCTCAAATTTCAACTGACTCTTTCTGATTGTAATTTAAGTTTAAGTGTCCTATTTGTTTTAATTTTCCCTAAAACTACCCTGTTGCACATATGTTCCTGCTATGGTATTCTTGGCAACCTTCTGTAGAACCACATACTTATTGCCTCAGGATGTATAGGTGGTGCAATGGATAGCAGAACAGAATGAGAAATGAGACAGCCAAGTTCAAATTTCTGTGGAGTTTGTTATATTCACTTGCATGCAAATACCCTTTGGAAAGGTATGAATCCATCTCTTTGCCCCCAGTTATGGGTTAAATAGTAGGATTTGTATCTGGAAAAATCAATGTTATCTCTCCAAAAATTGATATGGCAATATTCACTTGCCAAAAAAAAAAAAAGAATTATTCTTACAATCTAAAATCTGTTTTGGCTTTAAATAACCCACAATGGGCTGATAATTCATAAAAAAAACAAATCAATCAAATTGTTTCCTCTCCTCTCCATCTGTGAGGATATTGTCCAGTATTCACTGCCATATATGTTGATAGATATTATATAATAATTTAACACATTTTTTTCCAATAAATTTTGGCAAACATGGACCTTCATGCCCGAAAAACCAAAAAAAACAAAACAAAAATGGAGTGTCAAAATGACAATTTTTCCCATGACACCACTTTTATTTTAATTGTCTTCACTCTTCAGTAATGTTTATTGTTTTAGAAAATAAATTTATGAATAAAAAATTATTTCCATATTTATTTCTTTAGAAACTGGTAAATGATAAATATTACATTGAATTGGTTTCAATTGTATTATTTTTTAGAATGTTGTAAATATAAAATTATTCTTGTAAATAAAAAATCTAATAAATAGTGTTTAATATTTTTGTTGTAAATTCTCAATAATAAAAATAATGTATAAATTCACATTCATCATATGTTTAGATTTTATTACAATTCTAATCATTGCTTTTTAAAACAATAAACATTGTTGAGGAGTGAAGGTAGTTAAGATAATTACAGTGACAATAGAAAAATTGTCCTTTTAACACTTCATTTTTTTGTAGGCATGAAAATGCTTGCTGAAATTTTCCTATCTCTTAGTGTTTTATTTAAACTTTATTATTCCAATACACCTTCAAATATTTGTGTCCCATTTTCTTTCATCTGTTATGACACTACCATGATAGTTAATTTACCATACCAAATTGATTCCGATGTCTTCAATCCATAACTCACAGCATCCTGGGTATGACCAACAATACATTTTTATAGTAAAATGACAAACAATACATTTTTATAGTAAAATGACCAACAATACATATTTATAGTAAAATGAACAACAATACATTTTTATAGTAAAATGACCAACAATACATTTTTAAAGCAAAATAACTAGCAGTACATTTTATCTTTAGTTGAAAGTATACAATTGTGTTCAAAATATATTTAGTTTTGTAGAATATTCAAATTTTAGCATTAAATAACCGCTAGGGGATGATATGCTGCTAAACAAAACCAACCAACAAAACAACCAACATGAAAGAACTTTTCATGACATTATATAATATCCAACAATTTCTTAAATCAAACTGTATTCCAAAATATAACTTCATCAAAACTACAACATAAAACACACATCACTGCCTCTAGTGATTATGTCCACACAAACCTGTATATGTACAAAAGGTGAATATCATTTACCACATATTTATGAAAGCAGAATAACATTGCATTTTTATTACTTTAAAGCTCCCAAGAATTAAATTTTGGCATTAAATGAACCATAAGGTGTTAATATGCCATTAAACAAACAAATCAATCAACCAATCTTACTTTAACACAATATGGGAAAAAGATAAGGAAGAATATATTTTAAATAATATAAAGATTAACTTTTTTTATTTTAACTCAGTATTATTGAGAAATTTGTAAGGAAAATATAAGAACATAATTTATCATTCAATCAAATTGAAACTTCCTCCCTTAAAATTCAGAAAATTCAAAAAAATTCTTTTGATATTTATGATCTAGAGTGTGTTGTGGGTGGTATATTGGCATGCAAACAGATACTGAATAATGGAAGACAACAACAAATAAAACAAAAACCCCTTTTTCACTGGTTAAGCTTCTTCTTCCAGCTGTTTTTTAAAAAATGTAGAAATGCTGATAGGATATGACAAGTGCTTAATCAATGGTAATATGAAAAAAATTTGAAAAAAGTGATTATTTCTTGAAGAGGTGTGTTTCTATAGAAAAACTGCTTCTTACCAATTAAAAGTAACATTTGTTAACTACAGATATTATAATACTTGTAGTAATATTGCACTGAAAGTGATGCTTCCATTAAGCAAGAATAAATTGTCATTATTATTCAATTAAGCATTTTGACATCGATTCTCAACTTTGCTATTTGAACATTATTTTGGCAGATTTGCTCTGTAGCTTGTGGGATTACCCCACCTTGTCTGCCTGGAAATTTCTCTTAATGTGCACGAGGTGGAATTATTTTAAGCATTATAAAAGGAAAAGGACAGGAACACTCATTCTCTTTTTTCCCCTCTTTTTACTCACAGGCTGTCATAGTCACAAGACATGTCTTGTTTCCTTGCTGGGGAGATTATTTACTACCCAGGTGAACTGACCTTTTAGTCTTAACTGAACCATGTGAAATATCTCCCTTTCTCACTCTCTCACTCAAACACACACACACACACACACACACACACACACACACACACACACTAGACTAATCGAATAAAATAAATTTCTCCCGTTTTTCTGAGCTATGTTGTTCTGTATACAGATGTATAAAAATCCATGTACGTTTTTTTTTTTTCACCCCAAACAAGGCGGAAGTGCCACTTGTACACAGGGGGTTACAGAGAGTGAAAGTAAGAGAAAAGACTGGATTGCAGAAAGGATTAAAAAAGAGAATGGGATGAAGGCATCAGAAGATGATGATTGACATTGTATTTAAATTTTTGAAGATTGTGGTTGTCAGGGAAGCAAGTAAGAGGAAGGGAGTTCCGCTGTTGGGAAGTGCAAGAGAAGAAGCTGTTGGAGTAGAAGTGGTGGTTACATTTAACTGTTTCAACAGTAAAAGGGTGGGACCTAAATGCCAACCTAGTCACACGCTTAAATTCATATAATCGGGGCACCAGGGAAAATAGCTCATCAGAGCAGTTGCCATGAAAATATTTGTAGAAAAGACAGAGGGAAGCTATATCACCTCTGTGAGAAAGTGAATGGAGTCAAGATGACAAGTTGAGACTGACTACATTGCAGATCCTACTTTGGATTTTGTCAAGGACCTCAAGATGAACAGCAGGGGCACCAGACCATGTATGGCAACAGTATTCAATACATGGACAAATGGTAGAGAATTAATTTAATTTGTAAATTTTCCAATGAATACCTTTACAATTTGTAAGTTCTTTCCTTTACAAGCCTATATTATGTGCATATTACATCTGGTAACCTTTGAGGACTGAACTTTTCCTTTCAAGGTGTCTGGGTAAAGGGTAAAGGCTAATCTATTGATTGATTTTGTTTTTTACAGTTTGTTAACTTTTTGCAGGCTATTTAAAGCCAGAAAATATTTTTAGATTATAAGAGTTTTCTGGAAACAATAATGATTTAGTCCTACTAATTAACCCATATATGTGGGGAGAAGAGGTGGATTCATACCTTTCCCAAGAATATTTGCGCATAAGTGAATATAATGAACCCAATGGGAGTTGGAACTCAGCTTTCCGATTTACAATTCGAAGCTATTTTCCATTACACCACCTGCACATCCTAGCTTACAGCACCAGTTATTCCGAAGCAGTCATCCATCTAGGTACTGACCAGGCTCAATGTTGCTTAACTTCAGTGATTGTACGAGAACTGTTGTTTGAACATAATATAATGTTGTGGTAAACCCTCCTACAGTAGAATGAACTCTTCCTCCTCTCATAAATACTAATTGCAAGACTTTATAATGGGCAGTCGGGTGAGCAGGCAAGACACAGTGTTAACCTATCATTCAGACGTACACTTCTATCTGCTTATTACTAACACTCTTGCTTTGTATGTATTCTGTATTTCAATACACTTGTTCAACCTACCTTCATCTGCCATGTCTTTCTTTCTGGCCCCTAAACAGGCCATAACATATAGTTAATCTAGTTTGATCATTTCTACTCAGTAGCGAGTTTGATCCTTATTAAGTGAACTGTACAAAATTCAACATCAATTAACCTAACAAGGGTTGATATATCTATAAAATTAACCAATCTAACCTTACTTAACCTAACCTAACCTAACCTAAGCTGGCACAAGTGTTAACCATTGCCAATGATGGTTTACTGGGGTGTGGTTATCGCCCTTTGTGCTGTAAGTGGAGCTATGTTTCTCCTCATTTTAGATGAGAGATGTTGCTCAGAAGTTGGCAGCACCTTCCTCATTGCACTAAAAAGGTTGGATCAGTGTAATACCAATGCCAGAGTGTGAGAGTGGTCGCAGAGGGTGGGCAAAAATCAATTTTTGTCCTTGGCCCATATACATAAGTATGCATATGGCACTCCCCACATTAAAATGACCTTGTGTCACATCCAGTCTTGGTGGGGAGACCAGGTAAATATACTTGACCTTTACATAACCTTTGACTTTCACTCAAAGGTAGGTTTTTTTGGGGGTTTTTTTTTGCATATCTAACATTCCTCCTCGGAATTTAACATAGAACTTTTTTGATTTGCCAGCTTTTTGTTTAACAATCCTTCATTTTGATCATCTCTTAATAAGGTGGTCTGTTCCTGTGTTTATAACTACTTTTATGAGCGATATTTTTTTCTTTTAAAATTATCATCTTAAAGTAAACAATATCTCGAAGAAGTGGAGATATGATGAAATTAACTGCCAAAATTAAACAGATGTAATTCCTTTGAAGTGTCTAGCTTTTCAATCAACCTTTATTGAAGAAAATCATTGATAAATTTTAAATTGTTAAACCATAAAACAGGATTACCATTAAAAATGTGTAGAACAGTTTTAAAGTAGACTTTACCCAACATCTCACAGGAAATAAAATATGAAGATGAGTCAAAAAGTAATGCAATTTGTTTTATTATATAAGAAATAAGGGACACAATCAAACATATCATACACAAGATATATATACAAGATATATCTATACATCACAGGTTCACATTTTATTTTACAACATAGTCACCACTTCTTTTAATGGTAGTGTTTAACCTAGACATTTTTTTTTAATTACAGGCAAAGCTGAAATGTTGGTTTACAAAGCTCTTCCATATGGTCCAGTTATGGAGACTTTGGCATATCTAGTTCGTCGGATGCATGAGAATAAGTCAATACTGAAAGGGGCACGTCGGGAAAGACTTTTAATTCAGCAGGCACTTAAGGATAGAATTTTTAAATTCTACCAGTGACTTACAAACTATTGCAAGATCTACATGACCACTTATATCATGCCCCAGATGATTCCAGGAAGATATGAAAATATACTGCAGTAGTTGGCAAATAAATAAAAGGACTGGAAGGACTTAAATTTTCTTTAATGCCTGCAAATTTTAAAACTTTCTTCTTAACTAGAATTTACATTTTATTATAACTATAAAATTAAAAAACAAAAACTTATTAATTTTTTTTAAAGTACTAATTTTAATGATATCGTTATTAGGCTATGACCAGCAATATTGAATATTTGTGTATTCAACAAGAGTTGTATATTTTAATCGATAAAAAATATTTTAAAAATCTTTATATTTCTTGTTATTTACTTGCAGAGCTATGAGGGTAGATCAATACAGGGTGCGATGGATAAATTGTCGTCTAAATTACTCAAAAATGAAAATAATACTGACATCTCATTTTAACATATATTTACCAAAATTACACAAAAATATTTTGAAATAATAAAGAGTACATTTATTCAATAAAATCGCCATTGGTTTCAATCATGGCCTCTAGAAAACTTTGGAATCTCCTGAAACTCTTCTGGATGGTCTCCTTGTTTAAGTTGGTGAATGTTGCCATAATCCTTGCCTTCAGTTCATCTTTGGTTTTACAAGGAGTTTTTTGGTGTCTCGCTCAACTGTACCCCACACATAATAATCAAGGGAGTTGCAGTCTGGGGAACAGCCATGATTGGATTCTTCTGCTTGGCATGGTGCAGAGTCCTGTTGCCAGACATAGGGTTTTCTAGCAGTCTTCCTCTTGATCCAGGGCAGCACTACCTCCTCTAGGCACTTGATGTAGGCCTATGTGTTGAGTTTGAGGCCCTGTGGGAAGATGAATGAAGGCATAACATCAACATCACTAGTGATCACTCCAAACACCTTCGTAATCACCATTAGACTCATCCAACTCTTTCTAAATCCTCTGCATTGTCCTCAGATTGACACCCAAGCACTCTGAAATATTCATATTGGAGCTTCCAGCAGGAATGTCAAGCAGTACAGCATGCTGTTTCCAAATTTCTGGCAGAGTGAATTGTATCATGGTGCTCTTTGTCTTCCAGGAAGTGTCCAACTGACCCTACTGTAATGTCAAAAAACAAAAAAACGAAAACAAAGCTCATGCACAAAATTAAAAAATATAAAATGGTGACACGTTACCCATCGCAATTTGTATATATGTAGCCTGATATGTAGTTATTAAGAGAACATTGATCTGAAATTTTCCTTGTATAACGCTTGATCTCTGTGATTTTGATCTATGCAATTAATATTTGAGAAATATATCAACATATTGATCTATGTGATTAATATTTGACAAATGTATTCATATTTTGAATTATGTAACTAATATTGGACAAATGTTTCATATTTTGATCTATGCGATCGATTAGTATTGGGCAAATATATCAATATTTAGTTCTATGCAATTAATATTGGGTAAATATATCCATATTTCAATCTATGCAATTATTATTGGACAAATGTATCCATATTTCAATCTATGTGATTAATATTGGACAAATATATCAACATTTCAGTCTACATGATTAATATTAGACAAATGATTAAGTTTGTTGACAGAGAAGGAGATTATGTTGCAAAATAAATGCTTCTTCCATCATTAGACTATTAACTTTTTGATGTCTCTTTATAGATTAATTGCTTAGAGTTATTGTTTAAAATTATATAAACATTTCTAATGTTGCTCATATAATAACATGAGATTTATATAATTGTATTAAAAAAAATATTTTGTTTGGTTGATTCATTATCTGTGGGATGTATAACATAGGTAGGGTTAGGTAAATGAAATAACTAGATTAGCAACCATATATGCATGTGATGGCGTGCATACGTTGGTAAGCAAATAAATAATTTAGCAAATTTAGCCAAGACGTGTAGACATATTAGTGTTCAATGTGATTAGACAGAACTAAGAAATATATATTAATAAATACGCATATACATACGTTTGGTGTGCGACTTAAGTTACGTTGGTTATCCAACTTGTCGGGCACAAGATATATTGTTTATTTTAAAACGTACGGTATACAGATGCTCATGGGATGGATACTGATTCATAGTTAAAAATTAAAATAGTACAAAAATAGTACTAAAGCAATGCAGGAAATGAGGTATAAGTATGAGACAATATTTTAAAAAAGAGCAAAAAAAGGAATTGAAGTACGAGTAAAATTTAAAATTTGAATAATGGACACTATTTGTATAAATCGTTTGACTGGTTAAAGGGAGGTAATCAGTGTATGACCTAAAATAAGGGCAAGCGGAAAATTAAATTTAGACAAAAAGTGGGTTATCCAGGATTACAATATTTTAAGAGAAACATCTCTCATAATGTATATCATATTTATATACATTCTATAATTAAACACATTTAAATCAACTTTAAAATCATATATATATATATATATATATGTTATGGTAATTTACCCATGCATGCAAGTACTGCCTTTTAGAGAGGGAAGTTTTCGGCAGTAAGCTCTGACAGTCGGATCAAACATTGTTGTTGCAATACTCTTGTTTGTGTGTGTTTGTATTACTGTTTCTGTTAATATATTTGGTTTAATTCAATTCCTATCTTTTTGTCTTTATTTCTGGCCCCAACAATAATATATATATATATATATATATATATATATTTATATATATATATATATATATATATATATATATATATATATATATATTTGAACAAAGCAGTTCTGTTATTTATCAATTTAAATGTTAGTGTGATGCTGACTATGTGGGGTGAACCAACTCCCAAGAAGATGTTTCCCCAATCACTACAATTTTAACCTGTTCAAGTCTAGGGTGAACCGTTATCTTCCCTTTCTATCTGTTATAGTGGAACACACCTATTCTATAGTTAATAGACTCTCCCACCTATAATAAGTAGAAGTAGTAAGAGTAATGAGTCGCTCAGTGGGTCAGGCAGTCAGTCGATGGCGGACGACCGTTAGTCGGATACTAAAGTATCAGCGACCACAACTAAATTTACTCTGCAGCATACCTATTATATGAAGTTCCTAACGTTTTATACGTCGAACCTATTTTAGGACTGACTTAGTACAAATACAAGCCTCCACTGTGAAATCACTCTATAACACTATCCATATAAATTATCTCTTAATATAACCCTCTACCTTGAGTGTCCCCAGGCCTTGTATGGAGGGAACCTTACTGTAAAAAAAATAAAATTAACTTAGTAAACCACTTATAAACAGTACTCTCAACTATGTTACCATTTCCATATGTGCCACATACCTTTTTTGCAGGTTTTACAGTATTTTTCCTTTACAGGAATAAAAGAGCTTCA